TCCTATCTATTTGTGATACCAAAGTAATAAAAGTGTCACTATTCCTATAAACCTACACTTCATAACAAAAATGATTTTATCTCCTAATTTTACTCTGCTGGTGTCTCAATGTATGTCATAACCTTTATGAATATGATGGTCATGTGAGAAAGTTGATGTGTTCTCAGTTTGAACAGACTCATGCAAGCCTGGTGATCTTGGTAATTTTGTGGGATTTTTCCTTTAAATGCTCACTCTAAGTTTGATGAATCAATTCTTCTGAGGTCTGACTTTCTTGCACCCTACAAAGAAACTTCTTTATTTTTCAAAATGTATTTATTTCTGAGTCTTCCTTTGTCACATTTATTGGCCATTTGGATTGCCTCTTTTGTGCAGGGCCTTCAAGGTATCTGCCATATTGTGAGTGATTTTCAGTTCTTTTGATATTCTGGATACTGGTTCTTTTTTTTTTTTTTTTTTTTGAGACGGAGTTTCGCTCTTGCTACCCAGGCTGGAGTGCAATGGCGCGATCTCAGCTCACCGCAACCTCCGCCTCCCGGGTTCAGGCAATTCTCCTGCCCCAGCCTCCTGAGTAGCTGGGATTACAGGCACGCGCCACCATGCTCAGCTAATTTTTTGTATTTTTAGTAGAGACGGGGTTTCACCATGTTGACCAGGATGGTCTCGATCTCTTGACCTCGTGATCCACCCGCCTCGGCCTCCCACAGTGCTTGGATTACAGGCTTGAGCCACCGCGCCCGGCCTGATACTGGTTCTTTGTTGGTTATGTGTGTTGCAAGTATCTCCCCTACCATGTGGCTTTTTATTCTTTCCATAAATTTTTATGGTGCCTTTTGATGGACAGTGGTTCTTAATTTAAAGGTGTCACATTTATTAATCTTTCTTCATGGTCAGTGTTTTTTGTATCCTGTATAAGAAATAATTCTCTACTCCATGGTCATGAAGATATTTCCTTATAATCAGCATCTTATTGATGAGAATTTTTGTTTTTTACTGTGTTTTGCTATTACAAACAGTTGCTTCAGGGCCTTGTTATATATATTTGGCGTACTTGGCATGTTTTCTTAAAGGATTTCTATATAGAATAAACTGCCAGCAGAGAAATTACTAGGCAGGATGATATTTTAAATGTTGATAATCACTGAAAAATTGACTTCCAAAAGTATTGAACATACCTTTCATTCAAGATACTTATCACACCGTATTACAACTATTGATCAATCTGTTCATCCACCTGTGAAGAGATGCTGCCCATATGGTTCTGGATGCTGAAAAAAATAAAGCAAGTCTGTTCTTTAACATGGTTGTAATTGGGTTGAATTCATCAACTGCAAAGGAGAAAAACAGCAGAGATTGTGAAAAATGTTGCTTGGACATGGCTTAAGATCTAGAACTTGGATGTTGAGATCAGACTGCAGCAAAGGATGCTTCTCCTTCAAGGAGATAATTTACAATGACTTAAAAAGAAGTATTCTAATATGTTTTGAGATAAACAAAAGTTTGATCAGTACACCTAAAGATGACTGGATGGCAAATTGGACACTGATGTTGATTTTTTAGTTTGTAATTTTAAAAATAATTACATTTGCTAACAGAATATATTGTTATATAAAAAAGTAGGCTCCAAAAAATGTGCCCAATTATGAAGATAATCAGATCTCCCTCTTCTTTTTGCTTATCCTTTTTCTTATTTTTCTACAGTGAAAATAACTTGCCTTCATAATAATAATATATTGCTGACGCTTAGGCTAATTGGCTTTAAAAGCAAAAATTCTGCAGTCAAGATTAGACAATAACAATACTGTATACAAACTTTTGTCTTCATTTCTTTTTTTCTTTTTTTTTTTTTTTTTTTGAGACGGAGTTTCGCTCTTGTTACCCAGGCTGGAGTGCAATGGCGCGATCTCGGCTCACCGCAACCTCCGCCTCCTGGGTTCAGGCAAATTCTCCTGCCTCAACCTCCTGAGTAGCTGGGATACAGGCACGCGCCACCATGCCCAGCTAATGTTTTTGTATTTTTAGTAGAGACGGGGTTTCACCATGTTGACCAGGATGGTCTCGATCTCTTGACCTCGTGATCCACCCGCCTCGGCCTCCCAAAGTGCTGGGATTACAGGCTTGAGCCACCGCGCCCGGCCTTGTCTTCATTTCTTTTGTTTTATTTTGAGACAGCGTCTCGCTTTGTCACCCAGGCTAGAGTGCAGTGATGAAATCATGGCTCACTGCAATCTCGACATGCTGGATTCAGGTCATCCTCCCACCTCAGCCTCCTGAGATGCTGGGACTACAGGTATGCAGCACCATGCCTGGCCAATTTTAATTGTTTTGTAAAGATGGGGATCTTGCTATGTTGCCCACATTGGTCTTGAACTCCTGGCTCAAGCCATCTACCCACATCAGCCTCCCAAAGTGTTGGGATTACAGGTGTGAGCCAGTGTGCCTAGTCAAACTTTTATCTTATTAAAGCTTTATAATTGTGTTATTTTTTGAATTAAATAAAAAAATTTTTTTAGATAACTTATGAAATTAAATAGTTTCACATGCAGTGGTAAGAAATAATAATAGAGTTCCTCTATACCATTTACCCAGTTCCTGCAGTGATAATATCCTGAAAAACAATAGTACCTCATCACAGCCAGGATATCGACATTGATGCAATCCATCTGTCTTACTCAGATTTCTCCAGTTTCACTTGTGCTAATTTGTGAGGGTGTACAAGTCAAGATGTATGTATAATTCTATACAATTTAATCATATATGCAAGTATCTACCGCCATAGTCAAGAACAGAAAAGAATTTCATTACTAGAGTATTCCTTGTGTTGCCTTTTCAAAACCATACCTACCTCCCTAACTCTGGACAGTCACTAATCTGCTTTTCATTTCTCAAATTTTATCTTTTCAAAAATGTTGTATAAATGAAACTATACAGCATATAAGCTTTTGGGATTGGTTTTTTGGTTCAGCATTATTCCCGGAAATTCATTCAAGTTGTTGCTTCTATTGATATTTTACTCTATCTTTTGCTGAGTAGTATTCTGTGATATGAATATACCACAATTTGTTTATTCACCCATTGAACGACATTTGAGTTTGTATTCATTTCCCATTACAGCTGTAACAATTTGCCACAAATGCAATGGTTTGAAACAACCAAATGTAGTATCCTGTAGTTTAGAGGTTAGAAGTCCTAAAACCAGGGAGTTGGCCAGCTGTGTTTTTTCTGGAGGCTCTAAGGGATAATCTGTTTCTTTGCCATTTTCAGTTTCTAAAGGCTGCCTGCATTTCTAGGCTTGTGTCCCCTTCTTTAATCTTTAAAGTCAGCAGTAGAGCATCTTCAAAAATCTCTCTCTCCCTGACCTCTGCTTCTGATATCACATCTTTTTCTTTGACTTTGACTTTCTTTCCTCCCTCTAGGATACCTGGTATTACATTGGGCCTACCAGGATAATCCAGAATAATCTCCTGTCTCAATATGCTTAATTTAATCACATTCTGTTCACCATGTACTGTAAAATATTCACAGCTTCCAGGGGTTAGAATGTGCCCATCTTTGGGAGGCCATTATTCTGTTCATTACAGGATTGTTTCCAGATGTGGGCTGTATGAGTACAGATACTATAAACATTTATACAGGTTTGTGTGTGTGTGAACATCTTTATTTCTCTGGGATAAATACCCAGGAGTATAATTACTGGGTTGTATAGTAATTGCTTATTTTGTTGTATAAGAAACTGCCAATCTGTTTTCCAGAGTGGCTGTAATAGTTTACATTCCCACCACAATGTATGAGTGATACAATATCTCTGCATGCATGTCAGCATTTGATACTGTCACTATTATTTATTTTAGCCAGTCTGATAGGTGCATAGTGATATCTCATTGTGGTTTTAATTTCCATTTTGTTATTGACTGATGATGTTGTTGACATCTGTTGTGATACCTTGGTTCTTGTCTTCTTAGAGAGACTCAAGGCAAAGGAGATACAGCAGAGTAATTTATTGTAAAGGAAAAAGAGTATTTTGAAAGTTAAGTGCAGAAGAGATAGTACACCCTGAGAGAGCGAGGATTCAGAGTGGTCAGCTTATAAGGATGAGACAGTGAAGACTGGCACTAGGGAGATTCTTTTCACGAGAGTCTTACATGGTTATTCATAAGGAGGTGGGAAGAGGTGTTATTAGTAAGCATGTTCTGGGTGGTCCTCTGTGTGCACACGCACAGTAGCTGTGCATGCTTGTCATACCTCGAGTGTCTCATCAGCATCTGAAATCTCCACCCAGGGGTGTGCTTTTTACTACGATAATGAACAAAGGGTCAGTTTAAGAACAGGTGAAATCAAAGTGCGCATGCTCTCTACAGGGGAAATTCCCTACTGAAGATAACTTTGCTTGAATGAGCTCAATTACAATGCAAATGCTGAGGCTTACTGTGTTGACTGTACGGTCACCACCGTTGCTGCGTCCCGAGCATGGTCTACCTGTCACGCCTCATTGTTGAACATCTTTTCATGCGGATGCTGATTTTCAAAAAGGTAGCAGTATCATCTCTAACGCAGTGGTTAGTAATGTTAAGTGCAACATGTATGTTAAAGAGTTTTAGTTTAATTGCAAACAAGTAAAGGAGGGAGATTCTGGTAAAGCCCTGGCCTAGAGGAAGCTCTGCGGTATCGCAGAGAGTAATGGACGCATCTTTGTGTGAACAAAGGGCTAGGCAGCTGCCACTCTGTGGCCAGGGACCTAGGCCAGGAGATGCGGAGTGCTGGGGGTGGGGGTGCGTCCGATGAGGTGGAGGGCCCTGAGTCCACGCAGAGCTGCGAAGAGAGAGAGGACTCATCTGAGTCACCACTGCACGGCGCGGCCCCGCCCAGGCCCCGCCCCTCAGACGGCCGGGTGGCCCGGCCCCGCCCCTCGTCCCTCGCGGCCGCTCCAGGTTCCCGCCAGAATCTATGCGGCAGGCGTGGAAACCGCTGCGAGGGGGCGCCATGACAGAGGCTGTGGTCGCCGGCAGTACCCATGGCGTCCCGGGGCGGCAGCTCCCTGGGGCTCCTGGCCTGGCTCTGGCTCCTTCAGCCTTGGCTCGACGAGGCCAGGGCAGGCAGGGCGTGGGCTGAGGGAGGCGCAGCACCGCTCTCCCCCTCCAGTCTCCCCTCAGGGCCGGGCAGCCTGGACCCAGGAGCGAGCGGGTGGGAGCCGCGGCCCGTAGGCGCTCCAGGATCCCCAGCGGCCCGCCAGTCCAGGGGCAACGCAGTGCCCCGTGCTTCGGTGACATTTCCCTCAGGTGAGTCTGATTCTTGCCAGGCTCTGGCAATCCATCCGTACGGACCAAAGGGACAGCGGCATTAACGTCAGGTGAGGCTTCTGGGCCACGCCCTGCCGCAGAGAGCCGGCCTGGTCTGACGGGGAGGGGACCTGCCCTAGAGGAGGGGCGGCTCGGGGACAGATCTGTCCAGCGGCGGGGCGGCTCCCTGAGACCTGGGGGGACCCGGCCATTTTCCGAAGATGCAGGGGATGCAGGCCTTGGTCTGAGGGTTCTGAGCTCGTTTGGCTCTGGTGACGGCGCTGCAGCGGCATTACTCTCAGTCCCTTTCATTGACCTGCCGCAGCCTGTGGCCATCGGATTTCCAGGATAACTGGAGGATTACCGGCCCCAGAAAAGAAGTGGCCCTGGCAGGTGAGCCTGCAGACCAGCGACGGACACGTCTGCGGAGGCTCCCTCATCGCCAGGAGCTGGGTGCTCACGGCTGCCCACTGTATCTACGGGTAAATGTTTGGGGCGCGGAGCTTGGGCCCTGGTCAGGCCGTGGGACCTGGAGCCAGTCTGTCCCCGCTCCTTGAGCTTCCTCTTCCTCATCTGTAAAACGGGGTGACAGCCCTATAGGTTTTATCCTGTCTGGGTGAGACCTGAGGATCTGCATTTCTAACAAGTGTCCGGGTGTTGCCGCTGCCACCGCTGGTCTCGGGGACCACATGCCAAAGGGGTCAGGGGTCCTGGGCGTACGCGGTTTGAGGGAGGGAGGTGGCTGCCGGCTGTCATAGGAAGATGGGACCAGGCTGGGAAGCACCTGGAAGGTGTGGCAGCGGATTGCAGACCCTGGAGGATCTCTCAGCAGCCACCTGGAATACACAGCGAAGCTGGGAGACACAGAAGTGCAGCACCTCTCCAAAACGGCGCTTGTGGTCCCGGTTCGTGACATCGTCATCCACCGATATTTTACTACGCTTGGAATAATTCAGAATGACATTGCCCTTGCGCTGCTTGACTTCCCTGTGAATTACTCCACGCACATCCAGCCTGTGTGCCTTCCTGAACAGGCTTTCATGGTGCAAGCTGATACGAAGTGCTGGGTGACTGGATGGGGCAAAGTAAATGAAACAGGTGAGACTCTGAAGCAAGACTACAGCAGCCCCAGAACAGGGAAAAGGCTGCTTGGTACCCTGGGGTTGACCTACAAGCTAAAGGGAGGGACAGAGAGGTATATATATACATATATATATATATTTTTTTTATATATATACATATATATATATATATTTTTTTTTTTTTAATAAATCAGGGGGGGGGATGCAGTAAAAGCTGCCAGGGAGTAATTTGAACAACTGTTTTATGAAATTCTGTTGGTTTGTCAGGACCTGGGGATTTGGGTGCCAGGCATGGTGGGTTCTCTCTAGGGTGAATTTTACCTCTGGAGGTGATGAGCTAGCTGTCTGCCTTTTAAAGCTAGCTGTCCCTCCCTGGAAGTACAGCCTTGGTAGATAGGGAGCTTCCTGTGTGTAAAGAGGCCAGAGACCTTTCATTGAGGTGTAGGGCCTCTTATTCATGGGGAGAGGCTGGATTTGGTACCTTTGGGGCATTACCTGTCTGAAAGTCTGTGATCCTGCGCTAGAAAGTATAGATGCTTTACTGATGTACAGGATGCTCTGTCACTATTAGTACTGCTACTCAGAGTGACAGATGCATGGTTTTGGTTTCTCAGGGTGGTAACACCTATCCTGTGTGTTCTTATTTCTCCTGTTTTGGTTTGGATCTTACATCCTCCTCTCCCCATGTCAACACTGTTCCGCATATCTTCCTTTGTCAAATGGGACACTATCCAATGCCCAAGAAGGTGTCTGTGTGTGAACACACTGTATTGAGACCCAGGGTGGGCATGGGGTTCTCTCGTCCTGTCCCACTTATGCAGGTCCACTCAGTCATAAATGGTCTCTCTGTAGATCCATCAGATAAAGCAGTAACTGAGCTTCAGGAGGCTGAGCTACGCATTATGCTTCATGAAAAATGTAATAAGATACTCAAGAAAAACCTGAGAAGGTGGAATGCAGTGATCAAGAAAGGGACTGTCTGTGGCTACAGTGACCAAGGGAAGGATGCCTGTCAGGTCAGTTCATGGGCCTCTTGCTGCCTCAGCACTGCAGTTGTCTCCTCAAAGCTTCCTCATCCGCAGCCAGTAGGGCCTGGGTTATCTCCTAGCCCCTCGGTTTACCCTCACTCATGTAATGGGACGTGAGGACAAGCCACCAAGGCTCTCCTGGGCAGCCTTCCTGATCCTTCAGGAGAGAGCAGCTAACACAGCCTGGAGTGGGAGGAGGGGTGAATCAGGCAGGTCCCACCAACAATGCGTGCTCCGTGTGGGCTCCTTCTGTGTGACAGGCAGTATTATTACTCAGGTAAGCACTAGACTCATTATTGTCTCAGAGTAGGAATGATTTCATCATGTGTATTAAGTTTTTTGGAACATGCCTTTTCAGTAGGTGCATGATTTTGCTTTATTGGAAATCGTCAATTCTCAGCTCTCATATTGACAGATACCTAAGGCTAGGAGGGTCTTCGGGGTTCCCGGGGAAGCCCCCTGAGTGCCTAGCTCTGCAGCGCATTGCAGTGCAATCAGCCTGCTCTGACGTGGAGGCTATTTGTTTCCTACAGTGATTGTCTTTCTTTTTCCAGGGAGATTCTGGGGGACCCCTGGTCTGTGAATTAAATGGTGTATGGATCCAGGTGGGGATTGTGAGCTGGGGCATTGGCTGCGGTCGCAAAGGATATCCTGGAGTTTACACGGATGTTAGTTTCTACAAGGACTGGGTCATTGGCCAACTGAGACAAGCTTCATGTCTGGATTCAGCAGACTTCCTCATCCTATTCCTGTGTCTGGTGATGCCCCTGGGCATCCTGGTGACCCCATGATCGGATCCCATTCTACTTTTCCTGTTTCTGAGTCTCATACTAGGCCTCTCCTCCAACCTTCCGCTCCTTCTCAAGGCCCTTTCTGCAAATCCAAGTTGGAATCCACAGGCCCTCTGGAGATCCAAACAGTAGAGCATGGCGGAGAGACTGGAGCCTGGAAAGTGTACTTGCCTGGTGCTCTGGCCACCTGCCTCCGCCGTGCCTGCATCAGGGCTGTGCTCTGCCTGGTGGGAAGGAGGGAGTGAACCTATTCCAGCTAGAGGACCAGCTGCCCTGCCAGGGGGGCCACTGTGACTCTTCAATACCTGGGAGAACATCTGTCGAAGAAGAGACATCATCGAGAGTGAAGCAAGTGTTAGACGTGGTTCTGGTTTCAGGGCTCTTACCTGAGACTGTGTCAGCTGGGCGATTGCTCAGAGAGAGAAGGAGGCATTCCCAGGTCCCTGCAGAGGTGTGAGGCCTGGGACTTCCACTCTGGCTCAGTTGTCCGGGGCTGGGAGAAGTTCCCCTGTAGCCCAGTGTGGGTCCATCTGTGAGTGGACAGCCTCTGCCACACCAGCTCTCTTGGGGCAACCCATTCTTGGCACCCCCTTCCTCAGTGCCCTAGTGGCTACTTTCAGAGACACCGTAAGTTGTGTTGAGGCAGTTATGGAGTGTGGAGTTTTTAGAAATCAACTGAATAAATGTTTGGAGACTCTCCTGTGTTTCTGAAGCTCTGCTCAATGGGGCGTGAGGTTGTATATAACATACTCTGTAGAGAACTGGCTTTCCATTTATTAGAAAGGTATTCATGGTTTTTATAACACTTTGGCAGAGCCAGAGATGAGGAGTTTGTCTGCCCTCATTTAAATCCAACAGGCGGCTTTACCCAGTGGGTCCTGCTGCCTGTCATTTTTTTTTTTTTTTGGGTCATCACCATCTCTATAGCTGGGAGTGTGGTACTTGAGTTTAACAAACCCTGCATCAGGAGCAGGGGATCAAGAGGGACAGAGGCTGGGGCATGGCACACTCAGACACCTTCCTCCCTCTCTTTGCTGTCTTGTAACAAATGGGCCTTGAGGAGATAAAATGGACTATGGGCTGGTCCTTGAGCCCAAAGAGCTGAGTACCCACAGGGAGGAGGGTGGGAAGGAAAAGCGCACTTGTGTGTGTGTGTGTTTGTATTTGTGTTTTTGTGTGTGTGTGTGTGCATGCAGGAGAGAGAGAAAGAGAGAAAGAGAGAGAGAGAGAGAGAGAGAGAGAGAGAGAGAGATCCTGCTGCCTGAGGGAGGCTGGGGCTGGTACACTCTGCTTCTCAAACTCTACCTGGTTACAGTTAAACCCAGGAAGTCCTAGGTGATGTCCTACAGAAATGCCCAGGAAGAAGGGCTGGAGGCCCAAGACTTGCCACATACTTCTGTTACTTGCAGCTTTCTTTCAGAATAGGCTGACTGACCCTTTTCTGTGTTCCATCTGCTGAGAATGCCAGTATGGCTTCTCATTTCCTTCTTTCTTCCACATCAGTTTAGCTCCAGTATAAGCATTCCCCTTTTCCACAAAACACTCTTGTGGACTCTGCTGCACTGTGTAACGTCATGCGCCTTCTTCTGGGCTCCCTGGACTCTGCAGTCTTTGCACCTGTTAATTTCTCTGTTTCCGCTGGTTGACATTTTGCCATGGGACTCTGCCGAATCTTTCCTTATCTTCCATCCTCCAGCTCCAGGTGTAGAACAGAGCAGAAGTTTAGGAACTATCCGATGAGTGAGTGAGTGAATCAGTAGATACTTAGATGCTATATATCCTCTATTGCCTCACTCCTTTCTCTCACTGTCCTTTTGTCTCATTGCTCTGTCCCCCTTTTGCTTTCCAAGTTGCCTTCATGAAGGGGAAAAAACACAACTGGGTAGGCAAGGGTTACAGCCCCTGCAGTGGGGAAAGTCCCAGGCTCCAGAAAGTTTATGGTTCCAGATGGGGTGCCCTTTGGTCTTCCAATGTTAGAGCATGCTTCTTGTTATTGGAGAATAGAAATTCCATTCAACATCTTGGTTATTGAGGAACAGCCTCTGGCTACCAGAAAAGATGGGCATGGCCTCCCAGGGAACAAAACATCAAGTGCCAAGTACACGTTACTCAATTTTACCCTTTCCAGTAAATACTTGTGAATTATCTTTTATGATTTGGGCACTGGCCTTCCTCTACAGATAAGATGTAGATGGCAGGTTGAGGGTAAATGTCGTCATTCATTAGGAGGACTTCTAGGTAAGGAGCTTGCTGGCTGGGTAGAACCTGAAAGACGGGAGACACAGGGAGAGGAGTTGTTGAGTGTCAGGCAATCAGTTTTAGTAAAAATGCCAGACCTGAATAAAAAGGAAAGAAAAACAAACAACAAAAATCCCTATGGGTTTCTAGCCATAAGGGGCAAGGGACGGAGAGAGCAATAAGCATTTCTAGTGGTCTTGAAATACCATTTGCCACCAAAAGAAACCAGGGCTGCTTGGAGAAATGGCTTGAAAAATTTACAGGTACAAAACCGGAAATGTATAAAATGAGCCTGAAATTTCTTGTCATACCAGATAGCAAGGAAGCTATCGTGTCAACAGGACTCAGAAACAATCGGAAGAGGCACCCTGTATTCTGACATGTGTTCCTGCTAGATCCCACTGCAGAGAAATCACAGCCATCCTTTAGCTTCAGAAGATACTAATTCACAACTGCACCCCTTACAAAATGTGCACTCAGCTACAGGGAACTGATTCCCTCAAGATTTAAGTCCCTTCACAGGGGTAGCCCATAGCAAATAATTGCTATGCAGAGATGCAAAGGTCCAGCCTCTTTCCCTCAATCTGGGACAACTTGGAAAGGCCTCTTGTAGGATCAGCTGAGATGTCAGTTGCAACTGGCTTCTGTGAGCAGCTTCTCCTAGGAGCACTCCTCAACAAACCATTAGACAGAATTCTCTGTCAGAGTCCATGTTCAGGGAACCCAATCTAAGCCACCCTGCCTGGCAAAAGATGCCTTTGGTGTCTTTCAGGATTCTACTGCTGAAGAACAATCACCCCAAACTCAGTGGCCTAAAACAACACATCGTATTATGGTCAATTCTCATTCATACTTGCAAATTCACCTACTTGCTGAGATTTATTTTAACCCCAAATTCAGTACTGGCAGTGATTTGTGGTCATTTGTGGATGTGCCCAGTGCAGTGGAAAAATTTAAATTGTCTGACATACATGTTCCTAGCTGGGGCTGTGCAATGTGCTATTTTGTCTGCTTTCATCTTTCTTACTGTAAACAAGTGTCTTTTTTTGGGGTAATCAGGAATGATTTTTTAAAAAAATTTACTTTAAGTCAGGGCACATGTGCAGATCTTGCAGGACTGTTAGGTATACACATGCCATGGTGGTTTGCTGCCTCCATCCCCCTATTACCTACATTAGGTATTTCTCCTAATGTTATCCATCCCCAATCTCCCCACCCCCTGCTATCCATCCCCTAGCCCTTCACCCCCCAACAGACCCCAGTGTGTGACGTTCCCCTCCCTGTGTCCATGTGTTCTCATTGTTCAACACCCACTTATGAGTGAGATCATGCAGTGTTTTGTTTTCTGTTCTTGTGTCAGTTTGCTGAGAATGATGGTTTCCAGATTCATCCATGTCCCTGCAAAGGACATGAACTCATCTTTTTTATGGCTGCATGGCATTCCATAGTGTATATGTGCCACATTTTCTTTATCCAGTCTATCATCAATGGGCATTTGGGTTAGTTCCAAGTCTTTGCTATTGTAAACAGTACCACAATGAACATACATGTGCATGTGTCTATATAATAGACCTATTTATAATTCTTTGGGTATATACCCAGTAATGGGATTGCTGGGTTAAATGGTATTTCTATTTCTAGATCCTTGAGGAATTGCCACACTGTCTTCCACAATGGTTGAACTAATTTACACTCCCACCAACAGTGCAAAAGCATTTGTATTTCTCCACATCCTCTCCTGCATCTGTTGTCTCCAGATTTTTTAATGATCGCCATTTTAACTGGTGTGAGGTGTCTTAACTATCACTTAAAAAAAATATTTTTTTTGCTTGTTGTTGGTGATTTTGCTGTTTAAAAGGGCTCCAAGTCCAGGCATGGTGGCTCATGCCTGTAATTCCAGCACTTTGGGAGGGCAAGGTGTGTGGATCATGAGATCAGGAGTTCAAGACCAGCCTGGCCAACATGGTGAAACACCATCACTGCTAAAAATAAAACAATTAGCTGGGCATGGTGGTGCACCGCTGTAATCCTAACAGGAGGCTGAGGTAGGAGAATTGCTTGAACTGGGGAGGTGGAGGTTACAGTGAGCCAAGATCGCACCACTGTACTCCAGCCTGGGCAACAGAGTGAGATTCCATCTAAAAAAAAGAAAGGACCTCAAGAGTACTGCTGAAATGCTGGCTAGTGCTCCTAAGTGCAAGAAGGCTGTGATGTGCCTTATGGAGAAAAATATAGGTGTGTTAGATTAGCTTTGATCAGGCACTCATAGTCCTGTTGCCTGGGAGTTCAGCCAGTCAAGAGTATACTAAAGGAGGTGTCTTTAAACTGGAACACACATAAAACAAGGTTATATGTTGACTGGTCATTGAGTCTATTTTGACCAGAGGCTCACAGGAATCTAACCCTATATTTCCTCTAGGAGCAATGGTTCAGTATTCATGAATTCAGTCCTTGTGATGACTTTATAAAATATAACTTCTGTGAATAATGAGATTCAATTGTATTTCTCATAATTTTGTAGAAAATTTGGGCAGTTCTGCTGGGCTAGTCTGAGCAGATTCCTGTGGTTACACTTCAAGCAGGGCCAGGATGTCCCAAGATGCTCTTGCTCAAATGGTGAGTGGTTATCTGGGAATACAGGTAGGGGTGCCCTACTTTTTCTCCAATCTAATGTAGATTAGATCAGGTGGACTCAGGACAGTGCTTCAAGTGAGTGAAAGCAGAAATTGCAAGGCCCCCTTGTGCCTAGATTCAGAAGTTGTAAAACTTAACTTCTACCATATTCTGTTGGTCAGGGCATGTCACAAGGCCAGCTCAGGTTAAGTGAGGATGTAGAACTAAATTTCATTTCTTGATGGGAGAATATGCAAAATATTGTGACCATATTTTCTAATCTACCACAGTAAGCATAACAATTGCAATGCATAAAAACCCATAAAATATGTTAAAGTCCAAAATCTTTATAAAACTTTACCGCCTCAGAAAGAGAAGTGATATCTTTAGAAGACTACTATTTTTTAATCCTCAGTAGATCCAGGCAAAAATCATCAACAGCTGAAAACATCAGAAAATAAGGCCATCTAGACATTATGTGTCTCCAAGTGAAAGAATGCAACACCTACTATGTTGACAAAGGGATTAAACTTGAGTTCAGTTGCTGATTCGCAGGAAATACAGAAGACAGAAGAACATGTTGAACCACACCATGAAGGCAATTAACAAAGTCCAGGCTGTGGGAGACTCTACAGGTCAGGCAGCCCAGATTCTTCAACAGATGATCTGTAAAGCAATAGAAGTGAAAACTGTAAGTGAAGAGTGTCTCTAAAGACACATCAAATATGAAACAGTCACAGCAAGACAAAAGTGTAGTGTTCACGGAAACACATTTGGGTGATAAAATTATAAAGAAACACAAGGAAAAAGTTACGTAAAAGTCAGATTAATTGGTTGTATTTGAGA